CATATATATAAATAAATTATAAAAATATCGCAGCAGATCAAAACTATAAATGTCTATATTGGTCCTAGTCTTAAATACTAAATCTTGGACTGTTATATTCATAAAATGCATTAGAAAAATTTAAAAAATACCAATCTTAAATGTATACATAATCACAAATTGTATGAGATATATTTATAATTCAAACATAARCACACACAAAATAATGACTACATTTATTATTTGTTACTTTTCATTTTTTTCTTCTAAAATTAATATTAAATTATTGATTTCAAAATAGTCATTGGATTTAATAAGTTGCCGTTTCCTGATTCTGTAACACATTTGGTWCTTACGTTTAYAGCCATTACTCCCTATCGCTCTGGTTATTCACGAAATCCATGTAGTTTTTTAATATTATTATGTTACCTGGAAATAATGATGCAAGTATRTGTATGAGGCACTATGCCACACTGTAATACTACGACAGTATAGTTCATATAGAGTATTCACAACACAATTCAGCAATTTCACACGAACGACGCACGAAATAAAAACGTRTARCCAAATTATAACTACCAAACTACAGTATTCATTATGATTTCCTAGATTTAATAATAAATCATAAATAGATAACTGCATTTTGGGGGGACAATTGTTTGAGCAAAAATATTCAACAACACTACTCTACAAGACCAGTTTATCATCACTACCTAGTCTATCGACGTTGTTTYATGATAATAATATTTATTATAGTATGTATTTCCTGTTATTATTAATGTCGTGTATTGGATTTGAGATTACTACAAATTATATTATATTTAAGTAATATTGAATAATTAATAGTTTACTATTTTCATATTATTCATAAGATATGTTTTTTTTTAATTTTTATAATTATTAATAACCATGTTTATGCACATTATAATACTACTGTGTATTGTAATATTGGTACAAATATTTAACGTGGTTTTTTTGTCTTCTTACAGATGCCAGTACGCGGCGTTCACGTTATTACTGATTCAGGTAAGTCAATGGTTTAATTAATTGTTATTTGCTTGTAAAATATGAGGTCAATTTGACCACTGTTCTGTATTGAGTAAATGGATCAGTGCTCGGAAGTTGTATTAAATAGTAGGAATTATCTACACTTATCTGAATAGTCGTTTTAAAAAATTGTTTTTTGATTTTGATACATTTTTCTGTTTTTCAATTTTTATAAATGGCCATTCGATTCGAGTAAAACATTTTGGTGGATTTTATCGAATATCTAACGTACTAATTCGACGTATAGACTAGACATTAAAAATAAACGTATATTTATAYCTATAGTAGTCACTATTTTTATTTTATTAACAATAGCTAACACAATTTTAAAAATTATCAACATGACCATGATATTTTCTTTTTCGAAAAATGTCAAAAAACTCTAAATAATTGGTAAAAAACATTCAAACCCGCACTCAAAAGATTTCRGCACTTCGACYTGATGAAGGTCATTATAAAACAAATTACTATAAATAATRATTGTGAATTTATATTTCTTAGATTGTTCTATAAAATCTACCAAAACTGTAGAAAATTGTATAATGATTACCTATACGATTTTCGAGCACTAAATTTGTTTTACCTAACACATTATATTATTGAGCGTAGGGCTTTTAGTTTATTTCGAGGTAATATTTTTTAATCATCAATCACTAAACAAGACATATTGAATGGATATAACATTGCAGTGTGTTTTAAYTTCGGTCACGCGATAATTTTTAAAAATCATAGGTTTTTTTTAATTTAAATTTGCCATTAACGCTATCGGATAGGCTAGGTATTCAAGGGGTTTRATGTAGGCAATTTTAATTACATTGAAGGAAAAATGAAAATTTAAAACAATATTAACTTATTCATAGTAACTTAATTAATAAACGTAAATAGGTATCATTTATCAGGTAGAAAATCTTTCTCAGGCTGTTAGTAAGACAAATAATAYCATATTTGATGAAAAAATAAGAATCTTTATAAGAATTACAGACCTTTAGTTTGTGCACAAATGTATTTCTATTCTTYGGTACTGCTCGGTCAATGTTTTTACATCTCATAACGTCAAGCATTTGATTTTTTCATTCTGAATTAAAACTCTTTAGCAGTTCTTCTCCTTACAAAACTTTTTTTAATAAATTTAAGAACATGGACGTATTTTGGCGACCCTCTTATCAGTATTATGTGCTTATTGTTGACTTAATTTTTTTCTRACATCGGAGTCAGAGTCGTGAATGCARTAWTACAGTGAACAGTAGGCACTAAATACTTTTTTTCTGGATCACCTTTTTTGCGACTAGAAATAATTATCACGATTTTTATTGTACGAGTGTAACAAAAAATTCGGACCCAATTACACTTTTTCCACAGGTGCATTTATTTTTGATTTAAACTTTTCTTATTTTACACTAAAGATAATGACAATAAGTGGGATGGTTTATTGTGAACCGAGTAATAATAAATGACGCATTAAAAATTTGTCTCGTTTTATTAATAACGAGATAATTGCACGGAGTCGTAACGAGAAACCAACCAACAAACAGCAATAAATGATAATAATAATAATAATAATATTACATTATTAAAAAATTCAGATGAAAATCAATATAGTTACCCCATTGACGTGATTAATTATATATAATATTGCTCTAGCAGTTATTCCGCGTACAATTCGATTTATTCTATTATACTCACACCGCCGCCACCGCCGAACCTACGCCAACGTGATGGACAACATTATTATTAATTGATTTATATATTTTACTAATTGTTTTTTTCTTCTTATATATACCTACAACAATGCACTATTATTTTAATGTATGGCTTATTTCGTCTGGAAAAGGTAAAAAAATATATATATAATATAATATATTTGACCTAATATACATTAAGCCTGCTGCGTTGACTGTAAGTGAGTGACTTCGGCGGGTGTGTTCAAGACGTGTTATTATATTGAATTCAAAATCATTACCATGGTTATCGTATTTAAAAAACTTAAACGAGAGCGTTGTTTAGCTATTTTTATTTTTTTACGTACATTTATGTACATTCGAAAAATTAATTATATGAATATTGAACAACCACAATCAATATAATATTATTTTTTTTCATAATTTTTTTATTTTCAAAACACAATGTATACAAATCAAGCACGCGACGTTCGATATTGGATCTGCACATTTTAAAGTTATTTTATATTATATCATATATAATAATAATAGTGATGAATAAATATTTTTTGGACAAAATTTCAATAGTAGTGTTCTTCCACGCGGTCAGAATCTTATATAGTACCGTTTCGACGGTGAAAAGGGTAGTGATGTGTGATGTATTATACTACGACTAGCATTGTAATAATAGTACCTTGCTATCATATTGTAACGTTTTTGCGATTTAAAACCATGACATTGTAAAAAATGATACATTTGAATAAATGTAAGAGTATTTAGCGCGAATGATTTACATAATATTTTTCTCATTCAAACTGTAAAAGTAATGTCCGTAACACACATACATAAATTATACACTCACTAGATTACACACATACCTACACAATCGAACAATACTGGCGGTGGTATATTAATGTAGGTAGCATAATTCGGATTTGTTAGTACCTATATTTTATTACATATTTATATAATATAATATAATATATAGGTGTAATATTTCGAAAGAAACAATCGTGACCGAGATGAAAAACGTATTCACGATTCGTTGTTCCCGCGCAATAAAAATCCAAAGAACGTAAATCGAATTAAAATAATTCACGCCTATCCTTATACCGACATCGTAATCAATAGTAAATTGTTAATACCTAAAAATAATTTTAAAATACGATTCAAGGGTGCACGTGCATAACTCAAAGTCGTAGGTACTACACATATCTCGATAGACTATATTGATTAGAGGACYATAATATACGACTGTATGAATTATTTTTCAGTCGTTCAAAACAATCGGTTGGACGCTCGAAATTCCTGGAAATTCTTCGATTTTGTTGCTCAGTAGTCTGCTCCCGTATTATTATCACAAAATCCGCACGCCGCTCTATCGAAGTGTATAATAGGTAGGACGTATCTGATATATACATATCATAGGTCACATACAAATTTAAAACTCTGTCATGAGTGAAAATAATAAATGAGGAAAACTGCATCAGGTTGCAGTAGTCGACCATAAATAAAACATGACATAATAATATTCAAAGTGGGAGCAATATACATGTAATAGTTGAGCTAATTATAATTAATTAATAACATATAGTTTATTAAGTTGTTGGACTGCCAATAAACCTGCAAGTTMATCAAGTTGCTCAGCTTAATATATCTGTTATTAGTGTTATTTATCATGAAATGTTTACCATTATATAAATTGTAAATTATGTAAATATCTGAGGTAATGGCTAGAAATACCTTGATGCATAGTAATTTCGTGTATTAAGGAATTTTCTAATTCAACTGCGTTGGACACAATGCATTTACGAATAAGTTCGTATGCAATGGAATCATAAACACAACTAAATACGAAAATATAATAATGTAGGATACTTCACGGAACATAAACTAGAAAAATGTTTTAATCGACACGATAATGGACAGCTAAGATTAACTGAAAACTATAATAGATAGATAGATATTTATAAAGGCATTCCACGGTTATTCTAAATTTCAGAATTRTCAAAATCAAAATGAAATCGCCATAAAAGTGTCCGTTATTTAGGAATAAAGTTACGGCCTTTTTCAAAAACGTCCGACCGGGGTCGGTCGGACAGTCGTCGCGAGTAAATTTCTTAGATTAACCTACCATTTAACCTTTGTACCTAGGTATACGATAATACGATATTTCTTTCAATTCCGGTTAACGATTTACGGGGTTCAGCCGCAACGGACCATTATTGTTTTGCCCGTCGTACACCACAACCATCGTCACTGTCGTCTTATATCGCTAGCGGCGCATACGAAGAAAACGTCTCTTGATGGCTGATGCACTTTTCCGATGCAAATATCATGTCATTAAACCATAATTGTACTATACTCGATCTGYAGTCTATTAGCATATCATCATAATGTTATTATAAYTCTCAACATCAACTGCTGGTGGCATCTGACATTGTATATTGTTCCGCTTGACCACACGTTTACATCTTTTGTCTTAATAACATCTACAATCTATATACAATATTATATACATACATATATACAGGGTGTCTCACGATGATCTGTCATATGGAATAAATTATGTTGTATTCAACATTAAAATTTTTTTCYATATTATTCATAGACACTTGCGCTACATTATTTATTTTTATTTTTATTTTTTGATACTGAAAATAAAAATACATAATAATTGATAAAAWTTTTTTTTGGATATATTAAAAATAGCCTATTTGTGAATCTGATTATAAAAAAAAATTGATGGTAAAAAGATTTATTTAAATAATAAGTAATTAATTTTTTTAAATTCAATATTTTTTTTCATTAAATTTATTCGAAACGTAATAACTTTTTTTATAAATATGATTTTTGAGTATTTGCTGACATGAGTAGCATATTTCTTAAATTATTTACTTCTTATATAATACTAAGCATAATTATTTTAGTCAGATAATTCTGTCGCACTCTGTATATACTTACGACTGGTAAGATAATTATTAGGGCTTGACTTTAGGAGAGGGTTATCTATAGTATCAAATAATTTGTATACACAATAATTGTATATTGTTATAAATTATGTCAGTAGAAGTTTCTCGCGTGTTCCCATGTCTGTATCTGTGACACTTTTAAGCAATACATTTCTCTAAATAAATCGTCCATTTTTTTTTTTCATAAGAGTCTACACATAGACTTTAGGAAGAAGGTTAATTTTGCTCGTACTGCCAGATTTCGTCTCCGGCGTCTGATCGCGAGTCGCATAATATGGTTTCTTTGACATATTGTGAGTATGATATACTGTTAGGTCCGTCCTTTCTATGTAAGATCCGGTCCAGTTAT